TAATTAAGACTCTGATCATTTCTCATTATAATGAACTAATTATGATTATGAACAATCTCACTAATTAGCCCAATAAGATTTTATAAGGTTACAATTTTAATGTATTATTTTTATTATTATTTTGATTTTAGTTGCACAATGGAAGATAATTATTTTTTATTTTTTATCTCAATTCGCACATATGTTATGCAACTCGAACTTAAAATTTTTTATTTCCAATGAAAAGACCATTAAATTACTTAAGTCGTTAGCACAATTTTAATGTAATATTAAATAAATTAATGCATATAATATTATGAGTAAATTCTTAAATAAAAAAGTCAATTATAAAATAACATATCAATATTATAAATTTATAATATCATATGTTATTGTAATTGTATTTTTTGTTTTGTTTTTGGAACTAACCCAACAGAGAAATAAATAAATAAATATCGAAGAATACAACATTGGTATTTAAATTACAACCTTAAAAAGGCAAAATTGTTAGAAAAGTGTCTGGTTGACCGAGAATATCGTCTCGACAGGTTTAACTTAATTTGCCATGCATGAGAGAAGAAGTTTCAAAACAATCTCCATGGTATTTTTTTAATTTGGAACTTGGAAGTACAAATGAATGACTTTGTCCATTCTCTGGCCCAAATTGGGCGGGTGGAATACAGCTTTTCAACGACTATGAAACAGTGGCATAGCTATGATTTATTATAAGAGGGAGCATAACTATGGATTAAAAAAAAAAAAAAACAAACAGAAAAAATGGGTAGTTTTACATCCATGTATAAAATAAGCAAGATATGATTAGCATAAACTTATAATAATTTGCAATTAATAATGATTTTTTCTCACCATTAGTATAAATTAATTAAAAAATTAAAGCCTCTCCCCTAAATAAATTAGAAATTAAATAATACAATAAATTTGTAATTACAATTAAAAAAATTAAAAGTCAAATAAATAGTAATTAAAAGTCTAAAGCCAAAAACAATTAGCAAATTACAACAATTTGTAATCGCATAAGAACATCTCAACAAAAAATAAATAAAAATCTATTGTTTAGAGAAGTGTTAGAATGACAGAATTATATTTTGAATTAAAAGAAGAAAAAAGCTTGAGTTTAAATGATGAACTACAACATAATTGACAATTAAGTGTAGGTTTGCCCTTTTTTATAACCTTATAATTAGCATATATACTACACTTTTTTATTTTATAGTTAGACAAGAAAAAATTTAGTATTTTAGAAGGCCCCTAGCTCCTCCCCCGACAAGAAATGTATGGAGGAGACAAACGTCATGCTGATGCATTTATCAGCATTGGCTTGAAAGAGCGTTTTTTTTTACTTAGAACCTGTTAGGTATAGCGGATTTTAAAATAACGATTAATGGTTCTATCTAAATCATTAAGAATATATGTTTGATAAATTTATATATTTTGAAATTGTTATAAATAATGTTTAATAAAAATTTTTATTTAGCTGTTTGATACTAGTAGACAGTGGTTAGCATCTAAATAGTTAGCTGATTGAAAAAGTTAGTTTAAGTAATATTTTATATCAAACTGTTAATGGATTAAAATTTTTTAATTTTATTAACAAATTTATTCATTTTTATTTTTTAATTTTTGGTCACAGCTTTTATTTAATATTTATTTAATAAGTTTCAATTTTAATTTTTACGTTTAATAACAGTAAGTGATTATTATATTTTTATTTTTTTATATTAATTTAT